GGAAAAGACAGCCGTAATGAGAACGCGCAGAATAAATCACGGCGATCTCGTAGCTCAATACCCACGTCCTCAGTTCTCCATAACCACACAAAGAAGGTACCTGAGAACTCTATGTTTTGCAAATCAAGCCAACATTCCACGGAAGAATGCTCGTTGGATCTCTCGCTACAAGAAAAGAAGCGAATTCTACCAGGACACATGAGGTGTTTTCGATGCACAACAAAAGGTCACAGGGCATGCGATTGCAGGCGCAAGATTACGTGCTCTACCTGTCAAAGGTGTCATGCCACAAGCGTGTGTGATCCGCAGAAATTAAGCCAGAAGACACGAGAAACCAGCAGGACAAATACCAGAATACCAGCAAGTAAGCCAAGCACCAACACGACGGTATGTGCATCTCTAGGGAAGAATCGACATACCCTCACAGGAGTTTATCGACGAGCGTACTTCTTCAGATGTTTCGGGCTTGGGCCGTAATGGATGTTGCATGTCGGTATGTCAAAGGTGTCATAGATGGAGGAAGTCAGCGCACATTCGTCACAGAGAGGCTATCAAAGCAGCTGAAGTTGCCATGTGTGGGATCCACTATCATTGCTCTAAACAATTTCGCAAGCAAGTCAGGTCGAGCAGCGCAAAGGCGGCGTGTTGTGCAGCTTCGATTGAAGAGTCAGTTTTCGCACTTTGAAGTTACCTTGAAAGCAACAGAAATTCCGCACATATGCCAAGATATCGAAGCAAGTACAACATATTCACCATTCGTCGTGAAAATACAGAGAGCTGGAAAAGACATCGCTGATCAACTACTATACGGATCTGTTGTCATGGAAGAAGGCATCAGTTTTCTCATCGATTCCGACCAAATTTGGACGGTGATGACAGGAGAGGTCGCTCGATGCGCAGGCAATGACACACTTATTGCTATGAACTCGAAGCTGGGGTGGATGTTTCAAGAAAACACCAGCATGGCATAGAACGTTACACACTCACGGATTAAGGTCTGCATATTGAAAACCAGTGTACAAGAGAGCTGACGAATTCCTTTGTTCGTTTTGGCAACTCGAGAGCGTAGGAATAACAGACGCCGTCAACAGTGAAAGCAAGCTCAGTCCAGCACTCCAGCAATTCGAACAGGCTGTCTGCCTTAGGAGCAAAAGATACGAGGTGACGCTGCCCTGAAAGGAAAACGTGGAGCTCTCGGGCAACAAGCAAGTGGCTATGACAAGACTTTGAAAACTTCTCTCCCTACTGTCAAATAAGCAAGGACTCTTGGAGACGTATGACACAACCATACGGGAGTACCTACGAGCGGGACATGCAGAAGTTGTCGACCGGCCACCCCTGGATTCGTAAAAAGTTTATATGCCGCGTAGAGAAGTGATCCGAGAGCACGCACTCACCACAAAAGCCAGGATAGTTTTCGACACTTCCTCTCATGCAAAAGGGTGCTTTTCATTGAATGAATGCCTGGAAAAGGGTGATAACTTGTACCAGGATCTCGTGAAAGTATTATTACGTTTCAGAATGCACTGTATAGCTCTTTTTGCTGACATTGAAAAGGCATTCCTTCAAATTTCAATCGCTGAGAAAGACAGAGATGCCTTTAGGTTCCTCTGGTTTCAAGAGAAGGAAGCACTGCATTTCTCAGAGGAGGATATTCAAGAGTGGAGAATGACGAGGGTGCCATTCGGAGCGACGTCCAGTCCCTACCTACTGACAGCAACTATACTCCAACATCTGAGGAGCGCGCAAGCAAAACCAGAACCGCAAGACTTCTCAGTGAATCATTCTACGTGGACGATCTAGTGGCTGGAGCAGAGTCAGATGAAGAAGCACTTCAAATCTGCAGAGAAGCCAAGGAGATTACGCAGCAAGCAGGAATGACACTGAGGAAATGGTCGACTAACTCGCATGAATTGATTATCGCATTAGAGCACGAGAAACAGACCGCAGGCAAGGAAATGGCTATCCTCTATGAGGCAAGTGTGAAAGTACTTAAAGTTACATGGAATCCACACACAGATAATTTCACATTTTATTTGAGGGGCCTTTTCGAGTTTATGACAGAAAAATGTGATACCAAGCGGTTCGTTCTTCAAGCTGCTTCCAGAATATTCGACCCCATGGGATTTGTTGCACCATTCACCATTGCTATAGGAATCTTCTTCCAGAAGTTATGGACACGTGGAATAGCATGGGATCAGCAGCTACCTCCGGATCTTCAGGATGAGTGGCGTGAATGGGTGTATCAACTACCCCTTTTGCAGAATGTTTCCATGCTGCATTATCTTGGCAGCGGAGCCAAATCACCCACATCACCCAGAAAGCTACAGGTGCACGTATTTTGCGATGCAAGCCCTTCGGCATACGGTGCAGCGCTTTACGTCGTACCAAGCTGTTCAGCGAAGCCTGAATTGCTGATCGCAAAAGCCCGTGTAGCACCTATCAAGACAATGACACTACCACGACAAGAGCTTCAAGGAGTCTTGATTGGAGCAAGGCTACTTTGCTATGTGTCAAGTGCACTCACGGGCTTTGAGATCCACTGTACGTTGTAGTCGGATTCCACAATCACACATTCGTGGATAGAAGGCAACATGACGAAATGGAAGCAGTTTGTATCGAACAGAGTGAAAGAAATCAGGGAAAAAACAGATCCTTCTATGTGGAGGTATTGCCCTGGTCATGTGAATTCAGCAGACCTGCTCACACATGGAGTTTCTATGGAGAAATTTTTATCCAGTAACATGTGGCGACATGGACCAGACTGGCTATGCGAATCAGAAGACCGATGTCAACCACCGTCAGAAGCTATCAGCATCGACGACCGGATGTCTTCTGGAATGATTGCCGTGCACATTGTGATATACAGTAAGACAACGTCGGTACCAGTCCTGGACATCAACAGTTACAGCAAAATTGAAAGGCTACTCAGGGTCACGGCCTGGGTATTCAGATTCATTCAACGCTGCCGAATGAAAATCGCAGCGCACACTAGATTTCTAGTAGCTGAAGAGATTGCTGAAGCTGGAAATTATTGGATCAGGCATGTGCAGCAACAATCCTTCAGGGAAGAAATAAGCTCAATTCGGAAAGGCACAAGTGCAAAGGAGGACTCTATAATTAAAGACCTCAACCTGTTCTTGGATGACAACAGTATCCTTCGGGTCGGTGGGCGCTTGTTACACCTTGAAGCATCTTAAGAGGTAAAACACCCAGTCATCCTCCTGCACCATCATAGCTGTTGCAGATTATTGACAGTACGAGCACACTGCGAAACTTTACATGGAGGCATGAGAGACACTTTGTCACAGTTAAGAGAGCAATATTGGATCTGCCGGGCACGAACACTGGTGAAGAAAGTGATACACGGATGCTATATGTGCAGACACTTCAGTATAAGCCCAGGCGATGCTCCAACAGCTCCTATAGCACACCATTGTTTGACAACGACAAACCCATTCGAAGTCACTGGAGTTGACTTTGCAGGACTGCTCTTTGTTGTGACTACAGCCGGGGTCGCAGAGAGCAAATGCTACATAGCACTTTTCGTATGTGCTACATCCAGAGCAGTCCACCTGGAACTAGTTTCGAGCTTGACTTCAGAAGCCTTCCTCATGTGTTTACGACGCTTTGTAGCATGAAGGGGTCTCCCTCACGTAATTTATTCAGACAATGCAAGAGCGTTCTAGAAGACATCAAGAGACTTAGAGAAGCTCTGTTGGATGGTTTCCCAAGAGGACGTATCAACATACTTGGGTTACAAGAGGATCACCTGGAAGTTTATTCTTCCCAGCGCTCCATGGTGGGGCGGATGGTGGGAGCGTCTGGTCCGGACTATCAAGCTTCCACTGAGAAAGGTTCTCAGCAAAGCTCGACTCAACGTTAAGGAGCTGACTGCTGTCCTATCGGAAGTGCAGGCGGTCGTGAACTCGAGGCCTCTCGCCTACACCGAGTATGACAGCGGGGAACCTTGTGAGTTTACCCAAGCAGACCTCATTATTGGAAGAAAACTTAAGGTGCTATCACAGGGCGACAATGACACGCCAATGAACCAAACGCGCATGGAAGCTTTACAACGGCATGCATTTAGAAAACGGCTAAGTGAAAACTTTTGGAACCAGTGGACAAAAGAATATCTGCATCAACTTCGATCAGCGCACTTTTCACGTTCTAGACCCACCAAATAAGTTAAAGCCCACCAAATAAGTTAAAGCAGAAGACATCGCCATAGTCCACAAAGAAAAATTACCCTGACAAATGTCGAAACTTACAAAGGTTCTGGAAGCCTACAGAAGAGCTGATGACCATGTCCGTTCGTGCAAGATCTAACAACAGCGAGGGGTTGTTACCACAAGGCCGATACAAATACTTTATTTGCTCGAGCTGAACTAGCGACTTCGTGGCCGGGAGTATGTTTAATCAAGGACAACGCCAGGTCAAACCAAGGAAGAAGAAGCGCCTCCTTCCACGAGCAAGTCCGTGCTCACGGGCATTTGCAGCCAGAAATCGATCAAAATAGCTGAAAATAAATGTCGTTCGTAATGTTTAGGCCTCACTCCTTGCCAGTGAACCGTATGCCATTTTAAACATGCAGAATTGACTGATGACGAAATTATTTCATCAAGTTATGGATGATTTTGACGAGTTCGACATCAAGATCTAAGAGGCAGCGCCTACACAATTAACGAGCTTGAAGTTGACCCGAGCACTGACAATTGTCATCAGTGTACAGCGACAGCAAGAGGTTAACTGAAATTGAAGTAGACGCAACCTCACTAAAACAACGAACAATAAAGCCAAGGAGCCAAGCGAGGCTTAAAGGACATTATTTGTAGTATGTAACTACAGTTAACAATTACAACATAAGTGGAAAAGAAATGAAAAGGGACATATTTCCTTTTTTTTTATCAGAGAAAGAGTAGGGTGGAACTGAAGGTAGACAGGTTTCTATCCAGACAAAAAAAAATAAGGGAAGGTGGAGAACTGACGACAACCCTTACCTTGCTGTCTCTGGGGGTGGGTATGGCAACATGCAGGCGGTTCAGTATGCCCTCAATCTTCCTGCCCTGCATCTTCACCTCCAGCCTGTGGGCTAGCAGGCGGTCGCAGGCCTCGTTGCGTACCTCGGCCACGCCTTCTTCAGTCACAGTGCTCATCTCCAGCACAGGAATGGACTCTTCAGCCAACTTCGAAAAAAGGGCCTGCAGAGAGATGCCCCATGACGTTCCATCACTTGGAAGGAGGCAGTTGTTTTGCTCATTGTACTTAAGTAAATTAAGCCAGCAGACCAAATTTTCCTTTTAATGAAAGCTACTCCAGCTTGCACGCATTTGCAGGACCAACTTGCAGTACTCAAGAGTCCCTGCCCTTTGAGTTGCCGATGAGATTGCTTTATGTCAGCTGAGATTGTTAACCAACAGCAATGTAAATATGCTATAATCACATTTCGGACTAGCAGACTATGATGAACTAATTGTCAGCTGGGAAGACTTTGTTCAGACAAAGCCATGAAAACTTCCTTAATAGTGCCACTGGGCTGAATTCGGTGGGTCACAAGGAAAATGTTGGAATTAGGAACTACATATGAGCTAGCAGATGCAGTCAAAATTTATGACATTACAGTGTTTGGTATTGCTATCAACATTTTCTTTTCATTCTTTTTTTTGCTTACCAAACGTCTTCTTGCAGTAAGAGTGGTGTTACTGGCATTGTGAACTTGTAACTCAACAAAAAAATATGGTTTCTCTCTTAGTGCCTCTTTAAAGCTTTTTCACCATGACTGAAAAACAGACTAGTGCCAGAAACCCAATATCTTAATCGAACATTGTTAATTTACTTGTTTATTATCACTTTGATGGTTATAATTTGCCACACTTTAATCACAAGGGGGTTTAGATAGAGTCATTACAAAGATAAGCAAGAAGGTTACACGTACCTTGGCTTCAGGCGCGAGATCAGCTGGCCTGACAATGTCAACCTTGTTGACAACTACAAGGAAAGGCTGGAAGCAAGCAAAATGAGGAAGAATGACGCTTTGTACAAAATATTCCTAATCATATTCCTAATCAAAGAACTTCAGAAGTTGCACTTACCTTGTTTGCAAACAGTGGCTTGATGTTGAACAAGAGCTTCATCTGCAAACAAATGTGAAAGCACGTTTTATAAAAACATAACTTGGCACTACTGATGAAGCATGGATGAAGAATGTGCAAAGCAAGAAGCGATACAACAAATGCAAAGGAGCATAACACTGCTTAGGAACTACCGTTAAAGATACAAGAAAGGCGGCACGCTTCTGAGTGCATTCATAACTTATTAGCATAGCAGTCTAGACAAGCAAGCATGATGGCAAAAGACACACACCTGCTCATTGCTAATGCATATGCACACAATTGCAAAGATGGCCACAGTGAATTAAAAGTGACGTGCTTTTATCTGATGGCTCACTACTGTTCATTCCGGCAAGAGAAAGTGATATGCGAACCTCTGCAATCCGTTCCAGCATGTGGTTCACATGTTCATAAAGCTTACTATTCAATGTCGCCTACAGTCTCTCTTAACGCACTTTGGGAACCTAAAATTTACAACAAGGCACAAAGCTCCTAATAAGAACATATTTACTTGCAAATAAACTTTTAAAACCTGATCATTTATCATCCTTCTAAAACCTTCGCCAAAACAGACATATGCAGCTACTCTCATGACACTGAACCATCGTAATCCAGCAAAATGGATCCGTACTGTCCGAAGTCTGTAATATACAAACCCCGTGGGAGGCGGGAAGGGGGGTTGGTGCACGTCGCAGTGTGACGATGGCTTTGATATCACTCACCAGTATAGAAAAGAGTAGTTTCGCTCATAAAAGCTGAATATATTTGACAGCATGGCTACGAAAGACATCAGTCACCAGCAGCGTTTATTAAAGGGACACTAAAGAGATACAGTGAGTTGTTTTACGTTGATAAATCACACTTTGAGAACTCTAATATTGTTTATAAGTTTCACTGTCATAAGTTCATTGTTAGTGGAGAAAATCAAGGTTGAAGTTTCACTTTGAAATTTCGTGTTGTCATCTTGGCGCATGATGCAAGTAATTCAACAATGTATTTTTCGTAGTTTCGCGACATTGGCTCAATAAATTTTTCTGAGACTTCTTATGCTAAGTCTTTGGCACCCACAGATTACAATATACTTCAACTTTATTGATTAGAAGCTACATAGGACCCAGTAGATTCCTTCAAAAATTGATGACGTCATAGTGTTTGGTGCAGGAATCTCAAGGTGGCGTCTCCACCCAGTTTATTTTCATGCGTTTTCTCGCTTACCAAGTGTCATGTCGTGGTAAGAGTGGTGTTTTCAGGATTGTGAAAATTGTACTTTACTAATACACGAGGAAGCGTTTTACTCCTTAGTGTCCCTTCGACGAAATTGCAGTGCTAGTTCTGATTATGAGCGAGAGCCAATACAGTAGATGCAGGCCCATTATGCGGCCTCTGGAGAGCCGCAAAGCTTAGCCCAATAATAAAGACTTTCCAGCAGGACTTCTGTTATCGTCTTGAATTTTCGTGGATGGGAAGGCATATTTGCTTGAATTGAGCCCCCTATTGGCCACTGGGAGCAGTTGCTTCCGCGTAGTGTCAGTGGCTCACTGGACTGCCTGAAATTAGTCTGACGGTTCTGAACTGAGTAGCACCAAGACAGTACTCACATTAATACTCTAATTTGACAGAGGAACTCACCTGCATGGAGCACCAGAACGCCTTACTTTCCAAACTTCTGTCACGATGCCTAACAACGTTATTGTAAGGAACGAAAAACGACTAACGCAAAAGACGAAAAAAAAAAATCTTTATTTACACTTCACTCGAAAAGAAAGTTGTGATAAGAGATTTGCCAGCACCCTTGAGCAATAATGCAATCACTTTACACCGCGTTTCAGTCAGCTAGAACACTCCAACCATTGGTATAATCAATGTCCTACACTGGCTTGGTTTGTCAGAAGCCACCAATGTTGCCAGCCGCAATTTAAAACTGCCATGGCAATAGTGTGCAGACAGCAGCGTGGTGTTGCATTTGGCTGGCCACCCTTTTGCCACGGCTGCCAGAACAGAAGAAAGGCAACCGCCTCATTTTGTGGAGATTTTAGGAGCAGCGGCAAGACGCCCTGCTGTTTCCATGTGCTGGGCGCTGCGTGGCTGTAATTACTCTACGGGGCACCGCTGTTCTTCGGGCCTGCGCAGCGATGCGACACGTGGGGTCTTCATGCCCCGGTAAAAGCCACAATGCCGAGGTTCCGCCGATTACGGACGTCGGACCATCACGCAGTGCGTTTGACTGATGAGCCGTCGACGCTAAAATCAGTACCAGATGTCCAGGCATGGCCCCTTGGAGGCGCCTAGACCACGACTGCCGTTCGACAAAGCATAAGTGGTAGGCCCGAGCGGTGAGAGGACAGACTCGTTTTACCCCGCTCAAGCAAGATTCGCCGAAGGAACCAGCATCGCCGGAACCATAGACGTGTTTGGTTTGTGTATGTGTGTATGTTGGGAGCGGTGTCCGCATAATGACACTCGTGTGTGCTGTGGGACATTTTATAGGACAGTGCCGTATGGACCTATTCCCTGATCTAGGGAGATGAGACTGTATTTATTCAGCCCTCACGGGCTGCTTAGATGGTTCACGAAGCTTGTTTAATCGAGAGCTTTTTTCAATGTACAGCTTTCAAGGCAGAGCTGCAGGCTAGAGAGGCCGCGCCATGTAAATAATGTAAAAAACCCTCTCTACGAAGTTCAACCACCTCCCGCCTCGACGCCTTGATCCCGAATTTCTGGTGCCGCAAACCCTAGTCCCAACAGTGGTCAAGCCTGTTGTCAGCCCACGTCAACAGTCAACATGGTAAAGTGCGCTCCATGTGCGCAATTTCAAAGAAAGATGCCACTGATTTTGTCCACTGTAGCCTACAGTCCCTTGTGTCACGGTCCATTAAAGGTGAACTTCACTCTATTAATTGATACACAGACCAAACTCAGACTGATTAATGCTCCAGTGTATCTGAAAGTCTGCTGTACACGGGTCCGTTGTAGTGAGCATACACTGCAGTCATGACCAAATTTAGATTTTGTATGGTGTCTCACTAATTTTTCACGCTGATCTAGACAAGTGATGTAGAAAATGTGAATGCCGCAAATGTTTCCACCATTCAGACAGCTGCGTATGCCCAACGTAGTATTCCACCTCTTTCTAAAAGAAAGAAGAAAATTCACAGCATATCCACGAAGTGAATGATGATGAGTGGGACAAAGCTTCCGCCCGTCTGCCCACTATCCTATCAAACTAAACTACACGCAAGGTGCTCCTCCACGCCCATCTAATGATCACTTCACGTTGGATGGATGGATGGATATGGCTGTATCCGTTAGATCGGGCGGTGGCTAGCGCCACCAAGCCGTAATACTTAATGAACCCAAAACTATATTTATTTTTTTTCCTTAAAAAGTGAGTTTGAGGATTCGTACTTTGCAGTGAAGAGTTTAATTTTCACTCGTGCCTTGACTTTAGCCACCAATCAGATAACCTCCTTCTAGTTAAGTCTACTTGCTTAAAGTCTATTTTGCTCTTCCGGTCCCTAAACCCCAGTGCTTTGAAAAACTCTGCACCATCATCCTGAACTATAGGGTGAAGCCCTTTACAGAACATTATCAAGTGTTCGGCAGTTTCTTTTTCCTCTCCACACGCACTGCATATTGTGTCTACACCTTCGTATTTGGCCCGATATGTCTTGGTTCGCAGTACTCCCGTCCTTGCCTCAAACAGTAGAGAACTACCCCGAGTATTATCATAGATCCTTTCCTTGGCAATTTCCTAGTTAAAAGTTCGATAGATCCCTAGTGCGGACTTCTTAATCATGCCCATTTTCCACATGTCAGTCTCCATTTCCTTCACTTTCTTCTTAACCGATAGTTCTTTTTGGTTTGGCCACCTGCTGTTTTCTAAGTACAGTCGCCGACCGATTTTTCGGACCTGGCGGGGACCGAAAAAAAGTACGAAAAATCGAACAGTCCGAAAAATTCGTTTTCGCCAAAAATCTGAAGTTTATTGCATCAGGCAGGTTTAAAAAAGTCCTTGATGCTGCCTTGCCTCAAACTACGCTTGAAGGCAATTTGGTTTGCCCGTATTTGCGCCAAGGTGACATCGTCGCCGTAAACGCTCGACAAAATTGTCAACGCGTTGGCGATCTCCGCCGCCGACAGCTGCGGGCGGTCGTCGTTGTCGTCATCCGAGCCGCTCTCCGGCTCCGGGACAACCTGGCGAAGAATTTCGTCGTCAGTGGCCTCCGCGCACGAAACAATGTCGTCGTCCGCACGAGTGAAGTCTTTAAATGTCATTGTGGCTGGTAGATTCACTCCTACCCTGCGCAGGTCGCGCATTAGGTCCTCCCCGCCATCGGTGCTGTCCGGGTCGCTTACGTCCGGGTCATCCGCCTCGGGCTCTTCAGCAGCAGTGAACCCGGCATGCCTAAAGCAACGCGCGATGGTATCTGGCTTCACTGCCTTCCAAGCTTCGGCTAACATGTGGATGGCGGCCAGAATGTCGACCTTGTAGGCCTTCCCATTGTCAAGGCACAAGACGGTGCGGCTGAGCAGGCGGGCACGGTAGTGTGCCTTGATGTTTCGGATCACGCCTTGATCCATTGGCTGGAGCACGCTTGTGGTATTAGGCGGCAAAAATTCTAGCCGAATGGCCTCAAGGTTCGGCATGCTACCGTGCGCACCACAGTTGTCCACAAAAAAGATTACTTTTCTGCTCTGTCGCGCAAACTTGCGGTCAAGTTTGCATACGTAATTTTCAAACAAGGACTGAGTGATCCATGCCTTGGAATTACTCTCGTATTCAACAGGGAGGGTTCTCACAGCCTTAAAACACCTCGGGTTTCTCGCCTTCCCAATAACAAGAAGAGGCAGTTTCTCCGTACCGGTGGCGTTGGCACCTACCATGACTGTTATGCGCTCCTTGCTGAGCTTCCCACCGGCGCATGAATCCCCCGAAAATGATAGGGTACGATCTGGCAGAATCTTAAAGAAAAGTCCCGTCTCGTCACAGTTGAATATGTCCGAAGGAGCGTATTCTTTAAGCAAGGCTTGCAACTTCGTGGCTTGGTAATCGGACACAATAGTCTGCTTCACCGCTCCGCTTTCACCGCTCACTTTTTTGAACAAAATTCCGTGCCTCTTCTTGAAGCCACGAAGCCATCCGTCCGTAAATTTCAAATCCTCAATGCCCATTTTGAGAGCGAACGACTCGGCCTTTTCTTTTAACAAATCTCCCGACACGGGCAGGTTCTTTGCCAAAACTCCTTTAAGCCACAACTGCAGAGCCTCTTCAAGGGCTGGATGAACGCCCTTACTGTCGTTCTTTTGGCTCTTGTTGTGTGAATTCTCGAACGCTGTCAAAATCTTAATGCGGTTTTTGACATAGTCGGATACCGTTTGCTTGGAGAGGTGGTATTATTTGGCGACATCTAGCTGCGAACGTCCACTCTCTATTAACTTGATTATGGCAGCTTTCTTCTCCAGCGTCAGGGTCGTATACTTCCCACGCTTCTCCACACCACCTGGCTCCCGCGATGGCACAGATGGCGGAGCCATGGCACCGAGAACACAAAATTCGATGCCGCAGGTAGCCGCTGCGAAGCACACAACGTCTCGACGCTACGCGACACAACACGTGCAGAATGGCGACTGACAAAAGCTGCAACGACAATAAAAGAATCCTTCTTTCGCCTCCTCCCCGTGCGATGTGATGACGATAGTGCTGACCGAAGACAAAAAAACGGCATCCATCACCGGACTTTTAAAAAGCAAACACGGCCTCCGAAACTTGAAATATGGCGTGCGCATTCCAATCTCGGAGGCAGGAAAAGCATCTGAAGACCAAGCTTAGCCAAGCCGACGGAAAATCCAACATGGCGGCGTTCACAATGGCTTGGGGCGTGGCACAAAACGAGCGATTTAGTCCGAAAAATCGAACTTTCAGGGGCGAATTCGCCCGAAAAATCGGTCGAAACAATGCATTAGCTCTATGGGATCCCTGACGGTGCATTTATGAAGTCCGGAATATCCAACAAGTCCAAATTTTTGGAGTCCGGAAAATCGGTCGGCGACTGTATTTAGCAGTCAACTTCCTGGTTCGCTTCCTCCATTTTCCTTGTTCGCTTCCTCCACGTACTGCAGCAGCACAGTGCCATCTAGTAAATATTGTGAGAAGTAAGGGATGGCTACTACAACGGAGGGACTGAGCCACAACATAAGAAGCTTCGCCCCTAAAAAAAAAAAAAATATTCAGCAGCTGTGCATGCAAATATTGTTAGAGTCAAAAGAAACTCGCTAATACCATTGCCCAGTAACCTACCTGCTCTTCAATGGTGTGTCCGCACTGTTCCGAGAGGTCCATGAGATACAGAACACATGCCCGTATATGTGCAAGGGCTGTGATAGCCTGCATCTCAATGGTATTACGGTCTTCTAGCGGGTGATCCAGGATTCCTGGAGTGTCAATCACCTGCCAGCGGATGTACTTGTAGTCCGTGTGTCCCACGTACAGCGACTTTGTCGTGAAGGCATAAGGCTGCACCTCTACATCAGCACGTGTGATCTGTTTGAGAGCAGGAGGAAACAAGTTTATTGGGAAACTTCCAAAGGGGGAGAAAGAGCCAGTAAGACGATCAGTCAAGTGATGGCAATAAAAGAACATTGTTTAATATTCTGGGGTCACGTATGCCTAATCCCCAATTTCCTTACGAGGCACTCTACAATGGAGAATTACACTAAAACCTTGTTAATTCCAATGCAGTCACTTTTAAATCCCATTTAATTCAAAGGATTTCTGCAGTCCCATTTGTTACTATGTAAATTTGAGTGGATAATTTGACACAAGCCCAGTCAGCCTAAGCCCATTCAATTAAGAAACTTTAAATGCCATGTGTCAATTCCCAATCCCGATTTCGCCACAAATCTACGGAAGTGACAGCCCTTAGGAGCCACAAGGCAATTCAGTGAGGCTGTACTAATGAATGACCACTGAGCCTCCCCAGCCTCTTTGCTGCCGGAAAAGATGTGCTTCACTGCAACACAGTGGTGACACGCAAGTAGAATGTTGCACGCTTCTCGCCATGTCAGTGCATCACAAATTACCCATTTTTTCTGGGAAAAGAAAAAATAATAAAGGACGGACTGACTGAATTCACAATGTATGCAAACTTCTGATCGGTGGATACTCCGGCAATCTGCACACTTGCACTGCTGGCATTCCTAGCAATGCCTACTTCTAAAACTTAGGTTAGGAATTTCAATAATCCTGTTTTTCCAGATAGAACAAATTCCATCACACTGGCCTCTTCCTGGCAAAATAAGTTATTAATCACAACTAAGTCCCATTCTTTATTTTACCAGAAAGAACAGGCAAGTTCTGGCATCATGACGCATTGACGCAATGAGGAACCGGTGACATGCTGCCCCAGTGTCACCATGGTACTGCAGTGCAGCAAGTCTTTTAAGCAGGGGTACATTTCAACTCGCTACAAGAACCTCCGTCGTTTTATACAGCGAAAGGTGTTAGGAGATCCCAATAAGGGCCAACTGTGGTGCCGTAGTCGTTCACAACTGTCAGTGTCCACAACCAATATCATGTAAAATAAAAAGAAAACAAAATAATGAAAAATACTGAGGATAGAATGTGATTCAGATAAGAGTTCTCTGCATGGCAGCCCAGTATTCTACCACTGAGCTATGCCATTGAAACTCCATTGCAAACTGACCCAATGCAGGCTTTAAAGAATCGCATGAACATGTGTAATAAAGTGTTTTAGAACAGTAAATTAACAACCAGATGTCGCACAATGCGAACTGCATACCGTAATTACTCGAATCTAACGCCCACCTTTTTTCCGGTTAAGTGAGTTTCGCACTTGATTCTAACGCATGCGCGTTAGAATCGAGTGCGAAAAAAAAAAAATTATGCTCAATCTATTGCCCTCGGCATTCCCAAAATGGCCGCCCCCTACGTGCGTCAGCACAGAGGTCCTCCGTGTGCGTTGGCATGGCGCGTGTGCGTCGGCATGGCATGTGTTTCCCATGTGCGGCACTTCGTACGTGTGCTGAGGAGTTCGTCATCTAGTAGTGCATTAGCATCGATGGCGTGGAAGGGCCGACTCCAAAAACTTGAGTGCACCACGATGCCGCTTTTAAAAGAAAAGTCATCGCGTGTGCAGAAACGGACGGAAATCGGGCCGCATCACGGTCGTTCGGAGTTCCCGAAACGTGCGTGCGGTACCGGTGGAAACAAAAGCAGGAGATTGTCGACAGCAAAGCTTCACGCAAAGGCTTCAGTGGACCACAGCAGGGTCGGTTTCCGCAAATTAAAGAGCTGCTCGGCGAGTATGTGCTTGAGCAGCGAGCGGCACAGCGGCCCTTGACGACAGAACTGCTCCAAGTGCGGGCTATGCAATTAGTCTTAGAAAAAGGTCTAATGCGGAGCCAGTTAAAAGTGAGCAGGTGCTGGCTAACTAACTTTATGAAGAGGAAAGGCTTTTTCCTCCGAAGGGGAACATGCATACGCGAAAAGTTTTGCGGATGAGTACGATGAAAAACTTCACAGTTTTCAGAGGTTCGTCCTAAACTTGCGGCGCAACAACGGCTACCTGCTTGGGCAAATAGGGAATGCCAATCAGACGCCTCTTTACTTCGACATGCCTGGCACCACAACCGTCGAGAAGAAGGGGGCGAAGCAAGTTCGCGTGCTGACATCGGTCCACGGTAAAACTACAATGACGGCAATGCTCTGTTACACGTCAGAAGGGCACAAGCTTCGCCCGTACCTCATATTTAAATGGAAGACGCTCCCGAAAGGAGGCGTTTTTTCGAGTGGTGTGATCGTGAAGGCCAGCGAGAAAAATGGGTGCGCGTTGCAATCGATGTCTAACGTTTTTTTTTCCGTCGTGGAAATCGGGTGCGCGTTACAATCGAGGGCGCGGTAGAATCGAGTAAATACGGTAATTACTAGTGGGTTGTTAAATGCACCAACACATTAAAGAAACCTCGGGCATAGTTTTTCATTGTCTTCTGCCACAGCATCACCAAAGTGCACGTAATGATTTACAAGTGTGTACCACGCTTCTCCAAATGACGAATAATGCCAGCTGTTGTGGACGCTTCCTTGCTATGCAAAAATTATAATGATCTACGGCGCAGTGGCTACCATGCAAGCGGGCTTGTGGTAGTTGCTCCAAGAGTAGTATTTAAAAAAAGGCTCTATAAGGGCTGCTCCTCAAGCCTCTGCTGTGAGTGTGCTGCGCCTTCCATGCTGGCATGGCAATTTCTCTCTCACTCTCTCTTTTTCTTCTTTAACTAGCAGTAGCAAGTGTTCTCGTTTCTTCAGGTTTGTGGAAAATTTAGGGAGGGGTATCGTTGAACAACATAACCCTTGTAGGCACAAACTAGTAGGCACAGCAAACAATCACCTCTGATTACCAAAATTACTCGAATCTAACGCGCACCTTTTTTCCGGTTAAGCGAGTTCATAAATCGCATGCGCGTTAGAATTGAGTACGAAAAAAAAATGAATACGGTCATTCTATTGCCATCGGCATTCCGAAATGGCCGCCCCCTACGTGCGTCGGCCATTTCTGGCTATGTGTTTCCCATGTGCGGCACTTCGTACGTGTGCTGAGGAGTTCGTCATCTTGGTGTGCATTAGCATCGACGGCATGAAAGAGCTGACTCCAAAAACTCGACGATTGCACCACGATGCCGCTTTTAAAAGAAAAGTCATCGCATGTGCCGAAACGGACGTAAATCGGGCTGCATCATGCTCGTTCGAAGTTGCCGAAACGTGGGTGCGGGACTGGCGGAAACAAAAGCAGAATATTGTCGACAGCAAAGATTCACGCAAAGGCTTTAGCGGACCTTGCTGGGTCGGTTTCCGCAAATTTGAAGAGCTGCTCGGCGAGAATGTGATTGACCAGTGAGAGGCACAGCGCCCCGTGACGACAGAACTGCTTCAAGTGCAGGCTATGCAGTTAGCCTTAAAAAAAGGGCTAATGCAGAGACAGTTTAAAGCGAGCAGGTGCTGGCTAACTAACTTTATGAAGGGGAAAGCCTTTCCCCCTGAAGGCTAACGGGCATATGCCAAAAGTTGCCGGAGGAGTACGAAGAAAAGCTTCAGTTTTCAGAGGTTCGCCCTAACCTTGCGGCACAACAACGGCTCCCTGCTTGGGCAAATCGGGAATGCCGATCAGACGCCTCTTTACTTCGACATGCCTAGCACCACAACCGTCGAGAATAAGAGGGCGAAGCAAGTTCGCGTGCTGACATCGGGCCACGGTAAAACTAGAGTGACGGCAATGCTCCGTTGCACGTCAGATAGGCACAAGCTTCCCCTGTACCTCATATTTAAACGGAAGATGCTCCCAAAAGGAGTCTTTTTCCCGAGTGGTGTGATCGTTTGGGCCAACGAAAAAAATGGGTGCACGTTGAAATCGATGTCTTACTTTTTTTTTCCGTCGTGGAAACCGGGTGCGCGTTACTATCGAGGGCGTGGTAGAATCGAGTAAATAGGGTGCTTTCAGTTAGGTATGCAAAGTTCCCTGCATCCATTTTTCGCATAATCGTCAGCCTGACTACACCCAATGCGGGGCAAAGGCCTCTCTCCTATGATTCGCCAATTGACCTGATCTTGTGCTTTCTGCTGCCACGTTATACCTGCGATCTTATAATCTCATCGGCACAGTTAACTTTCTGTCTCTTCCTCACCAACTTACCTTCTCTGGGAATCCAGTCAGTTACCCTTAATGACCAGCGGTTATCCTACCTACGTGATACGTTACCGGGCCATGTTCGTTTGATCTTCTCGATTTCAACTATAATATCCTTAACCCCGGTTTGTTCCCTGACCCACTCTGTTCTCTTCTTGTCTCTTAAGGTTACACCTATCATTTTCCTTTCCATTGCTCACTGCATCATCCTCAATTCAAGCTGGACCCTCTGTGTAGGCCTCCAGGTTTCTGCTCCGTACGTAAGTACTGGCAAGATGCAGCTATTATATACCTTCCTCATGAGGGTTTGTGGTAGATTACCATTCATGATTTGAAAACGCTTGCCGAATGGGATCAACCCAATGCATATCCTTCTAGTTATTTCAATCTCATGATTCGGCTCCGCGGTTACTACCTGTTCTATACATAGACATATTCCTTTACAACTTCCAGCGTCGTTCCACCTATCACAAAGTGCTGTTTTCTGCCGAGACTGTTGTACATTACTTAAGTTTTGTGCATATTAACTTTCAGACCTACTTTTCTGCTTTCCATGTCCAGTTCAGTAATCATGAGCTGTAATTCTTCCCCTTAGTTACTCATCAATGCAATGTCATCAACAAATCGCAGGTTACTAAGATACTCTCCAGTAACTCTTATCCCTAACACTTCCCAATCTAGGGCCCTGAAAACCTTCTGTTAACATGCGGTGAATGGCATTGGAGAGATCGTGTCTTCCTGCCTCACACCCTCCTTTATTGGGATTCTGTCACTTTATTTATGGAGAACTATGGTGGCTGTTGATCCACTGTAGATTTCTTCCAGTATGCTTATGTAAGGTTCGTCGATGCCCTGATTCCGCAGTGCCTGCGTTACTGCTGATGTATGTTTCATTCGAAAACCTGCTTAACTCGCGGGTTCTTCACTGTCCCAGTGACATTGAATTAACGAGGTTCTACTGTAGTTTTATCTGGTGTCCATTGTGGGAATGAAAACTAATAATGCACATGTGTGAAGTCCTCACAGACAGAAATGCTACAATTTAAGGGTAATTAACATCAAAAAATACTATTGTTTCCATTGCCTTCAGTTCTTGGCATTAAGACGTAACTTCAACTCAACATTTACATCACAGCCAACTTCATTTTCAGCGGCCAATTTAATAGCAACATGATGCAATTATCTCGAGCAGTTGCCAACCCCAGTCATTACACTGGCTGTTTTGATGTCCCATTTAAATCTGTGAGGACAGTACAAGGTCACTAACGTCGCTGATAATGAGACAGCTAAAGACGAACTTCATCCAATAAGCGTATTTACATTGCCAACACAAAATCCTAAAAACGCTAGTAATCACATCAGCCTGCCTGCTTGCTGCTTGTACAAATGCATCCAAAAGAATTGGGAGTTGAATTTCAATGACAGCACTCAATTAGAAATCTAGCAAGAGTAAAGTCAAAACTGGCCACATTTTACCAGCGCAAAGGTACTTTTGACTAAATGTGAATAATCATTACGGAGAGCTACATGACAAACGTGAATTACACATTTCAAATTTGTTCTGTGCTTTACGCAACTGCAAATAAAAACATACATGATGGATGTGGTAACCAGTAGTAGCGTTTTGTATATTTAATAGTAAAAATAAATGTAGTGATCAATCAATATAATAGTTGTTGGTGTTCAAGTCCAAAAACAACAATGCGCTTACGAAAGTTGCCACAGTGTGGAGGGCTCAAGAAATTTTGACCATCTGGAGTTCTTTAATGTGCACCTATATCTAAGTATACAAGCATCTAGCACTTGTAGTTACTCAATAATCTGGCAACCTCAAGCTCAGCTACACAATGCTACAACACTGGGTCGCATACTGTGCATTGTCCGACAGCAGCGCTTCATTGATCCTCACCTTGTTGATGAAGCTGGATTTGCCAACGTTGGGGAACCCACATATGAGCAGCGTCCTGGTGTTGGGATCGATGGACGGCAGACGAGAAAGGTGCTGCCTCACCTGCTCCAGGTACTGCAAGCTCTGACTCTGTCTCTTCATGATGGTTGCCATCCTACACGAAAACCAAGCCCACTACAGCTGCATCTCACAAGAGCAGGACCAGTCTGCCACAACTTGTGGTTTTGGCTGGCACAATTTTCGAGACATGTCAATCTGCTTCTTTCAGTGCACTTAAATAGCAAAGAAAATACCTAAGCAACTGCATGGTTAAAAGCTATTTCTAAAATTAAGTAGCAAAAATAAAAAGGCTTATTTCACACATTCATGGTTTACCCGTGTGAAATCTGATAATGGCACAAAAGATTCTGACTCTTTGATTGTTTCTTCTTGCCCTTGTCTGATTGCTGGACGACTTCAAAATCCTAACAAATATTGTCACCATTTTTCGATATTTCAAAGTTGTAAGGAGCAGCTCTAACATAACACTGTTTTATTTTCATTTACAGTTCTTTTTTTTTTTTGTTGCTTCTCTGAGGACTTGCAGGCTGAACGAGTAAGCAGACAAGCGATAACTGGACAAAAACAAGTATTAGCTCACCGTTCTAATTGGCTTAACAAGCCCGTAGTTTCCATAGTGTTACGAGTAACAACTAAAGTACAGTGTAACTCACGTTTCCAACATTCAAGGGGAATTCATTCAGCGTTTAGATGCACTGACCACCATAATTTCTATGCCAAAATTTTTGCTCACTTACCAACAATGTCACTTAAAAAGCATTCACCCCTTTTCCAATTTTTAAGGCATGGGCACTGTGTGACACTCTCACAAGAACATGCGGTCGAGCACTCAAGAGACCCTTTTCATTCACACACCACCCAACAGTGAGCTTGTCGTCAGTTTCGATTTCACCAAGGGGTCCGGGATAGAATTCGTCGTGCTTAGGGCGAGGGTACGTGACAAATCAATACATGTGCCAGTGTAACGCATGTAGCGTGTCTGCACGTGGCACCAGATGGCTGCATCTCAGCGTCTTCGAAATCTGCGAATGAATGAAAAGCAGGGCAACTGCCTTCGGCGTCGTAATGAGTGACCCGTCGACTGGGTGGACGAACGGTCTGACATGGTTGTCGTACCAAGGAAGACGCTAGTCCATCCAGCTCCGACTTTAGTAGCTGGTAACAAGGAATATTGCTAGTTGGAGTAAGAGCTGCTGACGACCAGAAGTTACACCTACATAACTGTAGGAGCATTGCCAATGAAGAACACAATGGCAGCTGGCCTGCGAAACTAGGCGGGCACGCGAGACAGTAGTCTCAAGCGGCCAGTGCTGACCGCTTGCGCGTACTCAATGCCATACTACAAGGTGTAACATTGTAGAGATACTAGCGCAGACTTAGAAAAAGTGCGTTCGCACTGAAAAAACAGTTCTATGTTTTTACCGCCAGACTGTGATTTCGTTTTATTTTTCTGGCTGAACAATACGTGAAGATGATTTGCTGGACAAGCACTTTATTTACAAATCCACCGCATACCTGCATGGCCTGGCGCTTTCACGACTACACTGACATCGACATATGCACTGCGCATGGATACTCGACACGCGTGTTTGCTTGCATCAGCCTTTCATACATGTATCACCATTCTTGTCGCAGTGGGGTTGTGGGTGGTATAACGAAACACAGCGCCTTCCAACTATCCTCAGTAACACCTTTCTGGCACAATTCACAATGTGCAAGCTTGCTGGCACACTACCAAAACGTCGTGCACTGGCAGTTGCAGAGGGTGGCCACCCTAAACATGGCAGCTTTGGAGTAGCTATGCTAAGGGCACCCTTTACGAAAAGGGTCTATTTCCAGCTTCACCAATATTCACTTGCAAAATTTCGTGCTAATGTTTTCGTGCAGTTCTGAATCTCGAACTTAATGCGGATTTCCTACCACGAAACTCGAGGATTAGAGTAGTAGCACTCAGCAACCCCGTGAATTCTTTGGCAATTGAGGGCTTGCCGAGACAGCTGTGGAGCCCACTCTTTGATAGTGTGGGTATCAGTTGGGTCGTTTAGCGGAGTTTTTTGCTGTTTTAGGGTAAATTAGCATGATTATTATGTGGTTACTTCATTTTTTTTAGATTACATTAGACTTTGTTAGTTTATTTTGCACTAGTCTCGAGCTCTGTCTTCAACCTGTATTGACCCCTGCGGGGCCATGGGAAATGAAACACTGCATGAACAACAATTCAGGACCCTAAAGTGCTGCACACTAAAAGCCAAGTACACTAATCATTCCTATGTATCAACTCTACTCTGCTGTTTTGTTCATGCTACTGCATATTCACCTTCCGAGGGCTGCCCTCTTCAACTGCTTGCATCTGTAGAGGGAGTCGCCGTACTTGAGCAACCGTACATAATCCCTCGCAACACTGGGGGAAAAACAAAAAAAAAGGGTAGAGAGGAAAGTGGTGTCACCAACCACAAGTGCAAAAAATGTCATTTTATAATGAACACTTTTCATTCCACCATCAAGAGTTGTTATATAACTGAGAACAACATATAAACTTAAATGAAGGCGGTCTTGTTGTTTTGATGCAAACTTTATGCAAACACTGCCAGATAAAGGATAACATTACATTATCATTGAGTTAAAATAAAAACTGAGTCCATATCTAGTATGGCTATATGCAGAGTAATGCAAAGCAAAAGCAGATTTTTTTTTGTGATTTCACGTATGAGTGCTGACATTCTACTAACTCGGTATGTGAGTGGGTGAAAGAAAAGAAAAACATACATTTAAAATGAACTAGTGAACTTCGTAATACTTACTGGTGAAATCTTACGTTATTGTTAAATGCCACTCAACTATAGTCACGGCATACTCAGCGCGATCATGCGTTGATTTATCCTTACTTCTTACATTACATTTACTGAACTGTAGCTCACACGACTGACATGCATAACCAACTAGTGAAAACACATGCAACAGTAAGAAAACAACGAAACGGCATACTTGTCGATCAGGTGAAGCGCCGTGTTTATTTGGCCCAACGAAAGCTTGTAGTGATCCTTGTCATACAAGACGTTCATCAGGTCAGCGTAAAACGGATGAATGTCCTATGGAAAAAAAAAAAGGACAAAAAAATTAGATGATCAACTCGTTGCTCAACACGAACAAAACACACGGAAGTCACGAGTAATGTTGCACGCAGAAGCTAACCTCCAGCTTGGGGAAGTCCGAGAGCAGCTTGCTCATGCGGTCATGGAAGTTTTGCTGAGTGAACTTCACTTTGCGCATGTAGAATTGTCGGATACGGGATATCTTGTAGTGCCGGTGAACGACAGTGGGGGTCTTTCTCTGTGTCTTTGACAGAGTGATGTCTATAAAATCCTGATGGAAAGAAATCGAAACACGATATTAGCAGCTAGACTTTGAAGGCCTTGTGACATGGCACAAGACGGGCTAGAGACATGCGTTACGAAGGCCCAAGGCAACACAGTCGGGCTGTTAGAAAAATTAATTGTTCACTTACCTTGGCGGTTGGGACCACCTCGATCTTCTTAAAGTTATACTGCGCCATTTTCGAGAAAATATGGGGCCCACGTGCACTTTAACACCGAGCACGACGCAGGACCCCCGGAAAAGAGAACACATAAACAGCGCAATGACGTCAAGCGCTACGATGGTGATGGCGATTCAGCTATATTTTTTAGATTGAGTCACCTGCGCTAATTCAAGCTTAATTTACATTGTTGTTTGAACAATACCAAAAGAAAACACTGAACACACAATCACACACTTTAAAAATTGTATAAAATATAAAAATATTATAATTACAATGAAAAAACTATCGATGTTGATTAGGGCTGTGTCGTGCCAAAACCATAAACTTTATAAAAAAAAATCATGTTCAAAACAAATTTTTCAAGCAAATAAAACAGAACTTAAAATAATTTTGTTTAAGAATAAAAATGCTGAAGCAATTTTGGTTAGCGTGGCACGTTTCTCTTTTTTTTTTTCTTTATATTACTGAAGTGATCGGTTTCGGCATATTTAGTCACATAGTTCTGTGCAGCAAGCTCTACCACAGTCTACGCTATAGAACGTGCTTGTGGCGATCTTTAAACATGTTTTAATGATCGGTAAGACAAAACCAGTGGACAAAACAGAAGCGCTGAAACACTTAGCCTTAGCGGATACTTATTTGGTCTCGGCAGTTTCGAGTCCCGACTGTTGAAAGTTCCAAGTATTTGCTGGTTTACCTCCGTGTCGGCGCAGCAACCAGAGCATCCTGACTCAGTAAATTGCGTGAATAATGCATACTGCGAAGTGCTACGCATCTGTATCGAATGCGATAACGTGTACCGTAATCAGTATGAATCATGAACTGGAACGCAGAGCTGTACATCACCTCCCTAAGGCATTGAACTTTTACGCCCTGAAGAAGGGACCAAATCAGTCCCAAAACGCAGGGCTCCCTACAAACTTGAAGCCATTTCGACCTCCTAAACCTACCCAGCCAGACTTCTTTATATAGGTCCATAGCGGCCCAAGAAACAGGACATCGCTAACAAATGCAGCTCGAGTCAGCACGTGTTCCGGAAGGCAGGAAAGCCCAAATCTTTCTGAATAGAACCTCCCCGCGGTATTTCGCGAACGACTCGAAGCACTTAACATTCAGCTCAAACTGTTCAGGGAGTCTGATTAGCGAAGTACGCATTCAAGCTATTATATAAATATATTACATCAACCCGACAACGCCCACTGCAGGGCCCCATGGGAAAACATCTCATTATTCGCCAATGAAAGCGATAGTTGTAGCGCGAGAAAAGAATGAGGACACAAAGAGGACACCAGTTGTGTTCTCGCGCTGTAACTATTATGTCATACCAACTAGCCTAAGCTGCCACACCCCGGCAATCAACCAGGGCTTGTGCTTTCAGCCACCACGTTACACTTGCAAGCTTCAATTCTGACCGGCCCGCTCAACGTTGAGGCTCGCCTATTTTTTTGTTGTTGATAGGCTTTAGCCTTCAGCTTTTTTTTTTTTTTTTCCGACAAAGCGGCTATAAAACGCTAACCTTCGACCTGGAGCTGTATACATACCGGAAATGCACAGCTGCTTGGTGCCACCAAACTACATTGACACAAAGGAGCCGAACTTTAAGGTTGTTCTAGATTTTTATTAAAACAAATATGTACACATGCACTTAATGCATTATATTTATATATACCACGTGGAATGCCTAAGAAACAGGCAGGTTAACACAAAAAACTTTATTTTGGTCAAACAAACACTGAAAAGTAAATGAAAGTTTTTAGACATGTACAAGTCAGTGAACACTTTTTTTTTTAAAGCTTAGTCAACCTCCTCAATCGTTGGCCCACTTCCGGCACCTCCACCCGGTGCAGCACCAGCACCACCAGCTGCTCCTGCACCTGGGAATCCACCAGCAGGCATGCCACCAGCCTGGTACAACTTTGTGATGATTGGGTTGCAGATCTGCTCCAACTCCTTCTGCCGATGCTCGTATTCTTCCTTTTCGGCCAGCTGTAGTAATTGAGAAAGAAAAGGAGCGAAGTGGTCAGCCACAAGGTCCTACAAGCAACTACACAAGCTTCTAGATATTCAAACCTACCTGGTTGGAGTCCAGCCATTTGATGGTCTCCTGCACCTTGTCAAGAATCTTCTGTCTGTCTTCGTCGGAGATCTTGTCCTTGAGCTTCTCATCCTCTACTGTAGACTTGACGTTGAATGAGTAGCTCTCCAGGGCGTTCTTGGCGGCAATCCTCGTCTTCTGCTTGTCGTCTTCATCCTTGTACTTCTCGGCATCCTTTACCATCCTCTCTATCTCCTCCTTCGACAGACGGCCCTTGTCATTTGTGATGGTGATCTTGTTCTCCTTGCCGGTGCTCTTGTCTACAGCCGACACATTGAGGATGCCGTTTGCGTCAATGTCAAAGGTGACCTCTATTTGCGGCACACCACGTGGTGCGGGAGGAATGCCTGTGAGTTCGAACTTGCCGAGCAGGTTGTTATCCTTGGTCATGGCCCGTTCGCCCTCGAATACCTGGATGAGCACACCAGGCTGGTTGTCAGAATAGGTTGTGAAGGTCTGTGTCTGGCGAGTGGGAATGGTTGTGTTGCGCTTGATGAGGACAGTCATGACTCCACCGGCAGTTTCAATGCCAAGCGACAAAGGTGTGACGTCCAGCAGCAGCAGATCCTGGACCTGTTCAGACTTGTCACCAATGAGGATTGCGGCCTGAACTGCGGCACCGTACGCCACAGCCTCGTCGGGGTTGATGGACTTGTTCAGCTCCTTGCCATTAAAGAAGTCCTGCAGGAGCTTCTGGATCTTGGGGATACGGGTGGAGCCGCCGACAAGGACAATGTCGTGAACCTGAGACTTGTCAAGCTTGGCATCGCGCAGAGCCTTCTCTACGGGCTCGAGGGTGCTTCGGAAGAGGTCGGCATTGAGCTCCTCAAAGCGGGCACGAGTGATGGTAGAGTAGAAGTCCACACCCTCGAACAAGGAGTCTATCTCAATGCTGTAAATAAAAGGCAGCACAATTAGAAAAGCAGGACAGGGCTATTAGCTTCAAGTGTACACGTACCAGACGACATGTTTCTAAAGACAAGGTCTCAATAGCATTCCAGCCGAGTATACAAAAAGTGCAATGAACTAGGAGAGGAAGGTAAATCAGCACTGTATGCTACGTTTTATGTGTATCACTGTTCAGGCATATGTCCTATCAACTTGCTTAAGATTACACACTGCATAGCTGTTAGAAATGTCAGCACCTACTGGCAATTGCATAATGGTCACAGGTGCCACAATGTCAACACAGCATGCTTAATGCAGTTGATTACCCTAGATTGAGAAATGCAGCCACCTATGCTATGTCACTGTCAAGTCAAGGCAAGTGGGCTAGCATTAACTGCACACCAAGCCATCTCATGCAGTCAATTACAGAACACGAACAGGAACATTTGGACCATTTCAACTAGTTTGGGAAGGTTGCGTCCAGCAAGTGTTGCTGCGGTATGTTACGCCAGACTCCACCCCTTTAATTATTACGCAATAACTCGCACAGAATACTTCTGCGAGTTAAGACGGCCCGAGACAGGTGCAAGGGCACTCCAGCCTAACGCAGTAAAGAAAAAAAAAAGGGGGGAAACGCCAGCAACGTACCTGGCCTGTGTGCTCGACGAGAGCGTCCTCTTAGCCCTCTCACAGGAGGTCCTCAGACGCCGCAGGGCCCGCTTGTTCACAGTGAGGTCCTTCTTGTGCTTGCGCTTGAACTCTTGGACGAAGTGGTTCACCATGCGGTTGTCAAAGTCCTCGCCGCCAAGGTGGGTGTCGCCGGCCGTGGACTTGACCTCAAAGATGCCGTCCTCGATGGTAAGGATGGAAACATCGAATGTGCCACCACCCAAGTCGAAGATGAGCACGTTGCGCTCGCCCGTTCCCTTCTTGTCGAGGCCGTAGGCAATGGCAGCCGCGGTAGGCTCATTGATGATTCGGAGGACATTCAGGCCGGCGATGGTTCCGGCGTCCTTCGTAGCCTGGCGCTGCGAATCGTTGAAGTAGGCGGGTACGGTGACCACGGCGTTGGTGACGGTCTTGCCAAGATACGCCTCGGCAATTTCCTTCATCTTGATGAGCACCATGGACGAGATCTCCTCGGGGAAAAACGTCTTACTCTCGCCCTTGTACTCAACCTGGATCTTTGGTTTGCCTCCATCGCTGATCACCTCGAACGGCCAGTGCTTCATATCGCTCTGGACGGCAGGGTCGTCAAAGCGTCGCCCAATCAGACGTTTGGCGTCTGCGAAATAAAACGATTATTGTAAGCGTCACAGCATGTGCGACAGGGTCGGCTCAGAAGACGTTACGAAAAATTGCGAAAGCACTGCCACGGTTAGAATTGCACGGGCGCGATTCAACGTTAACAGCGAAGAGGAAACAAGAAAAAAAAGAAAATTCAACATTGCTTGTTTGAAGGCCGACTGGCAAAATGGTTATGAATGAACCATGCTGCTAATTATTCCTCCGCATGATGTAGCACACGGCGAGCGGCTCTGTATGAAGAACAGGCATACAGGCTTGCCACGCGGTGGTGTGCACAAAAGGCTGCCGGCACCACGGCGGGAGCGCCGCGCTAAGCCTATCTGCTCGTTTCGCCGGTCGGGCGGCCTAATCTCTCTAGGACTAGCGTCAAACAACCAGCATCACCAGAACTGTCAACGCAGACATTATTTTGTGACAATTCATGTTAAAGGAGAGGTGACTCACCGAACACTGTGTTGTTGGGATTCATCGCCACTTGGTTCTTGGCGGCGTCTCCAATAAGTCGCTCCGTATCCGTGAACGCGACATAGCTCGGCGTAGTACGATTTCCTTGGTCGTTGGCGATAATTTCGACCTTCCCGTGCTGGAAGACTCCAACGCAGGAATAGGTCGTTCCAAGATCAATACCAATAGCGGGCACCTTCGCCATGCCTGTAACGATGGGCGACACACAGGAAGAAAATTGTTAAGGGCGTTTCCAAGATAAGCTTCGACGAGCAAGGCCAAAACGGCACGTAATCTCGTTCTACGACACGGGAACAACGACGGTTACCCACCTGTGTCCGAAATCCGCACTCAAGAATAAATATATTTACAACTGAGCTCGATGGACAAACTCGCTATCTCGTCTGCACGAGCAACTCTCACTACACAAAAAAGGCGACCAGTCAGTTTTATGCGGCTGGGATGTGACGTCATAAAAGAACCTTCTAGACGGTTTTTGCTCGACCAATGGAAACTTGCCGTGTCTCTGGCCGCATGGCGGGGAAAATGGTCTCACTTACCCGTTATGTTTAGTAGATCCACTCAGACCGCGCAAAAAACTACTATCACGTGATTCTTTAGCCGCCCTCAGTAACGTTGGTAGTGGCGGCGCAGCAATCGTCGTTGTCAAGAGGCAAAGTAACTCACTAGCTTTTTTCGCGGTACACGGCAACGTTTGTGGCGTTTCTCGAAACGGTTAGAACCTTCCAGAAGCAGCCGTACAGCTTTGTTCGAGAGTTTTATTAATTTTTTTTCTTATGGCATCTGCCTCAAGGCCGCTAACCGTATCGTCGAGAGAAACGCATGTGTGTGAAGGAAAGGTGCAACGCGATTAAAGACAGTTTCGAGCGGTGTTTCACACGTGAAGAGCCGATCTGTTGATTTGCCGGCCGGTGTGGTCGCGCGCGTTCATTTTTTTTTTTTCCTCCTTTCTGGGGCGTCCACAGCTCGGCTTACGGTACGTGCTTTTCGCGTCTCGTGCACGGCCTGCGAGGCTTAACCCGGTTATACGGCAGACGAGGAACTCTTTTTTACTATTTAGTTGTATGCGCGTATGCATGCATACTTACCCTTACATAACAGGTCGCGCCACCGCCATTGAGCTAGGAAGGCAGGTACCTGTTCGCTACCACGTGGCTCGTCGCTAAATGATCGGCATTTCTCCTGCAACTCCAAATTCTGGCGCGTGCTATTTCGGGCGAAACCGAGCCGTCTATGACGTGAGCGATTATGAGTGCTCCTACTGACTGGCTCGGTTTACGCGCTAGACGTCACACAATGTCATTTTTGTTTTTCTTTTTTTTTCTTCACTCGCACACAATTTATTCAGACTTATCAGACACATCTTGTGACAAAGATACAGAAGAACGAGACAGATGGTGACGCGGGTATGAGTCATGAAGAAGAAGTCAGTTGGCTGTGACAGAAAGAAAAAAAAAAAATGGCCAGGTGGAGGTAAGGAATAATTCTAATATCCGAAGTGACTGGCCAGAATTCTTCTTTTTCTCGAATCCTCTTCATCCTGCGAGAATACAACAGGAACATGATTCACAAACGAAACATAAACCTCACAGGGCCCATTCACCTTACAGGGAACACTTTTTACCATAAACAAAGGGACAAGGCATGCCAATAGTAAAACTGCCTTTGTAAAAATAAAGCAACACAGAATTGTTTATTCATGCACACATGTTGGACAAAAAATACTGTAAGGAAAGATCACATTTTTTGGTTTATGTAGAAGAGACAACTACAAATAACTTGTCTTCTGGTGGGCAAATAACTTTCTTCAAGCCTGCGATAAGCAGGTTGGGGTCCCTTACATTGAGGCAAACGTATTTTCAGCCTTTGTGTCAACTACTAGGTGAACTTCATGATTCAAGTACTGTTCTGTGCACTTATTAATATCATTTATGCAATACTGCAGGCCATCACAAGCATGAACAAGGTTTACAACAGCAAAAGAAAGTTTCCTTTGCTTAAATATCTAGTCGAATTCTGTGTTTCCACACTGTGTGCCCACTCTGTGAAAAATCTGTTATCTTCGGTGTTCAGAGGTCGAAAGCAGGAATATATCTCTCCCCGGTCTTGTGCATATCATCAGCAGTGTTATCTTCACAATTTGCTTGCTTCTTCGGTCACAGCTGCCTGATATGTGACCCACAAGAAACCTGTATGTACTAAATTAGTGAAAAATCGTACAGCCAATTTTAATTAAGGGATACATTTCGTGATTCCAGCAACACAACAACAACCACACATCTTTTTTTCCCCCCTATGCTGAAGTATGTTATCAAAAGTGCCATATGAATGAACTCTGACCTCATTAAGTAGTTACGAATTGCAATCACACTGACCTGCCTGAAATCCGATGTCACAACTGGGGTAGGTTGAGTATATTACCTAAGATTAAGTTTGACCAGCATTTCATTCTGTGCATAAGCACATTGTCTTAATAAAATGTTAATTACACAATGAAAGAAGATAGCTTTTACACTTTTATTATATCTCTGTGTGCCTTGAAAACTTACCCTCCAAATACAAAAAAAATTAAAATCCTTTCAACTGGTTCAGCAATCATCTAACGACAGAATTTCTGCATTTTCAATATTCACTTGTATAAAAAAAGATGGCTCCAGGGCTAAGTCACCTATTGAAATACAACGAATCAAGGTGTCAGACAAGCCTGGTGTAAGATGACTGATGCAATAGGTAACCAGGGCTGCGATCTTATAACAGTGTGAACATGCCCTTGTGTCATAGGCTTACACATGTGTGTGTGGGGGGGGTTGGGGGGCAGAGGGGCCATCCTCTTTTTAGTCACCTAAATGGAGGGGGGGCACAAAGTCAGCCCCAGAAATTGACATAGTAGAGAGGAGGAGCTGCAATGATCTTTCCTCTCCTCCTCCCCCCACCACATTGAAGGGAGACCTATGCATTGCGTGATTGGTCAGAATTCAGACAAAAGCGTGACGCCAACGAAACGAACAGTTCACTTTCCAAACTGTTATAACATCGAACCCCAGCAGACTATTATAGTGGAACTGACAAGACGTAAGTCAAGAGCTAAAGACGGGTGTATTCGGGTGCATCACGTGATTGGTGAGATGTAGAAATTTGCAGGTGCAGGGTTGGGAATGGATGGCAGTGGGCAAGGTGATAGAGGGGCAACGAGAGAGGCCTCTTGTCCTGCCGTGGACTTAATCGTTTGAACTGAAGGTGATGGTTATGATGAAGAATGATTGACGCTCACGTACAATTAAAGGAGCGTTGACGCTTACTGTGTTCTTGCAGCGCTTAAAGGTGCATGCGTCGCTGCTCCTACTGCAAGGAAAAAGGTGCGCCGGCAAGAGAGTAAACAAAAAAGGCATCAGTTCCAAGCTCACACATTCCTGTTAGTGAAAAAAAAAAAAAAAGGTGTGCAAAGGCGCCAATGCAACACACACACACAGGGTGCATTTGAAGAAATGGGAAAATATAAAAAAAAAACAAAAGATTGAATTGCGCAAGTGGTGCTCCATATAATTTTGTCATTTAATGCAGAAATACTGTGCTATCTCGATTTTGTAGCTTTAACTTACAGCTATGTGCATCAAGAGACGTATATTGTACTAGCTGTCAATATGCTAGTATTTTATGCTCAACTAATATGTCTCTTTCCGGGTAGCTTCTCACACATCGAGACATCACTTTCAGACATTAACTTTTACTGTACAGGTCACATGCTAGCATTTTATATGGTGAGCCAGCACTGTGGGTTAGTCCTGCTAACGTGCAAAACAACCAGCTTTAAAGAAAGTGCAGCGCGCTAAAAAAGTTAGGGCGTGTGCCCACACAGCCCACATGCAGCATGCAAGAAAAGAGTTCCTTAGAAGCTTGTGCGTCTCTCACTATTACCATTTTCATCGAAGTACTTACAAGGAAATGCACACATCAGAACTTTAGGTAACATGCAGCAGCACCATGTTCGAAAAAAAATGTGCTGCAATGTCCTTTTGTTATGTAATGTAACTCAGCCACAAATAGTATTAGGAAGTTGGAATCACCGCAATAATGCACCTGTATTCTGTTGATATACATAGGCATAACAGCAGAAACTTCAATTTTTTCTGACGACCTCGATGATTTAAGAGTAGTAATGGAGGAATCAAGAACGGTATTAACTGTGCACACCAACAATACACAAAAGATAATGCAAATCATGCAAGGGAAGGTTAACCCAGTGAATCACAGCAACGAAAACATTTGCGAGGATGAGCTCAACTATGTTCATAACTAAGGATTACTTTTGGTGGAAACTGAACGAGGAGACATAATACAAAAGAACAGGACAAGTGCCCATCTTGTTCTTTTGTGTTAGGTATCCTCAAATGCGAACCAGTACCAGCCAGCTCGAAACTAATTCTACTCTGCTGTCTTCTATCCCAACAGACGAACACCACTGCGAAAAGTAAACCAGTAATGTCAGTCTCACGACAGTGCATGATGAACAGCATCATCGGGCGAAGTTTGCCATCGGCCTGCAGAAGAATCAAAGAAACACCTGCACGGAAACTACAAAAAGCCAATCCAGAATGATTTCTGAAAAATGTCTTGTTTCTGCACACACGAATCGCCTTAAAAGCGATGAATAAATCAGAGTTATGCGACATGCTAGCCATTCAGCTAGATCACTTCAGCAGATCCGCTACTTTAAAGGGGTACTGACACGAATTTCTAAAGCCGACATTGCTCGTCAATACAAATGTGCAGCACAGTAAACACCTGTAAATTGAACCCGGTTCATTCAAACCAGCGGCTTGATGCTGGTACAGCCCTGTGTACTTCTATGAAGGGAACCTCCTGACGATTCGAATGCGCTGGCAACGCGGAGCCCCTGGTTTTCGTCAGTGCTCGCAGAAGTCGACCCAGAGTGATCACAGTATGTTGCACGGCCAAACCAAACAAAATTTACTAGAGTCGCGAAACAATGAAACAGCACCATTTATCAGCAGGTATGAATTCAGATGCTGCACTCGAGCTCTTCGGGAAGCTGCGAATGATGCTCGTGCAGTCACGACACAAAAAACGCAAGCATTTGCAACTTACCAAATATATTTAACTTTGATTGCTCGAACTCTGCCATGAAAACAAGCATATTTTGGAGCATAAATAGCATCATATATTTTGACATTAACGCTCAATGCTCACATAAATGCATGTTGGTGCTTGGTTATGTTGTATCGCTGACTGATTAATTAATTATGCATGCTGTTTAATCTCCATGAAGTTAATTCACAAAATCACCTGCCACAAATGTATTGTAATGTCTAGTTCAAGATAACGAGTACTGATGTAGTTTTGTTGGGTTCTGCCTGGGCAGTAAAGAACAACGTCTACTTCTTCTAGAACCTGCCTACTAAATCAGACGGGCAATTTTAAGGATTCCTTTGAGTATGAATTAATGATCTTTAATTGTAAAGAGAGACAGCTCTGAGCATGCGGGAGGCTCAGGAAGTAATTGATAACACTGTTAACTTGACATTAATGTCCATTTTTGCATGTCACACCTACTAACATTGACGTTGGCATGACATCAGGCTACAGTATCAAGCTAAGTATCAATTCTGATGACTTCACCCACCAGCTGCGATGATGTCTAGTTGTGAGGTTAGTTGTGATGATGTCAGGTATCAAAACAGTCCTGAGCGAATAGTGAATTTCAGGTTCAAAGCGCATTTGAAGCAAATAGTGAATTTGGTCGAATAATTTCGAATCAAGTTCAAATAGTATGTATCACATATAAGAAATGGGAATATTTATTATGACCTAACTACACTGCACAATATATTTTTTAATTGAAATAGAGGCTCTGTGCCAATATAATTTTTTTTTTCAAAGTAAGTCAAAACAACCTTGAGTAGTAGCGGGATTTGAGTTTCGGTAGAATGCTGGCAATAAAAATATGCAACATTTCAAAATTTATTGTCCTTAGAGCATGCAAGCCATCATAACAAGCTCTTAAGTGCAATAATACGATGAATTGATTTGAGAGTAACATGTTCATTTAAAGGGGCCCTGCAACACTTTTTCAAGTAGTCATGAAGCACTAAGAAACTTTATTGCTTCACCACCGCAAAATCATTAGAATCAGTTCAGTATGACATGTTCATTCAAAGAAGCCCTGCAACACTTTTTCAAGTATTCATGGAGCCACTAAGAAACTTTATTGCCTCACCACCGCAAAATCATTAGAATCAGTGCAGTATGAGCGGATTTGTCACACACTGCAATCGCATTCTATCTTCTCGTCCCGAAGAAAGAGCTGGAAGCTAAGCAGCGAGGGCTGGCACAGGAAAAGGAAAAACCTCACGCTCATCTCGTGACCTTGAGCACTTATCTCTTTTATTTTTTCTTCGAATACGCGGCCTTTCAGTGCAATTGCGTACGTACGCGTGGACAAGCGGCGGCCTTCCGGGGAGGCCCCAGTAACGATCAAACGCGCCATGCTTAAGTCACCCAATGGCTGTGACAAGTGATTTTTGAGCTTGAAGTGTCAATTGCTCAGAAAAGAGAGGAATTTTCAGCTGACTTTGAGAATTTATTGTGAATTTCAGGGCTCGTCCTACCCTATAATATTTGCCACGCGTGTTCTCGGTAGCCTCGACTACTGATTGGCAGCCTTTTCTGACCATGCTCAGTAAGTGTTGCAGGGCCTCTTTAAATTTGAAGGGGGACTATGCGGCTGAGCGAATTTCCCCTGGATAGCCACTTTCACAGCTTAGCACCTCTAAACTGCAGAAAAACCCACCTTTACAGACGGTTACATGTGGACTAATATTCATTTATTCGTTCATTGCGAATACTTTACTATTTGTTCAAACATTCAAAGCATTAGAATATTTGCACAAGCCTATAAATCATACGAAATGGCCACTTGTTCGTCACGAAAGGAGTCACGGAGTGGAGAAGCCGTGCAAACGTCACTCATGATATTTTGCACATGCGTGTGATGAGAAGCTCATAACTAGAGACCTGATTTTAGGCAAATGCCTGTTTTTCTTCTCGCGTTCCTATCGCTCCAATTCGAATTTGAGCGTACTCCAAAATTTTTACGTTATTATGCAATATTGACTGTTTGGAACTCTATGGAGCTCAACCTAGTTTTTTTGTTTAACCAACTTAGGTAAAACTGGAAAACAAGGAAAAAATGTGCGGGTTTCACTTTGTTTGTAATCTATACTTCTTAAAAAAGTGTTCACCATTTGGACAGAAATTGACACTATGCAATTAGACCCTGCTAACACGTGGAATCTCTGTCCTCTGGTCTTTCAACGGCTTGGCTATCTGCTCCTCTGCCTGTCCCTCTCATCCATGGACGAATAGGTGGATGAAAAAACTCCATTAGGGTCCAATAGATCACACTAATGTACTAGCTTGAAGCGAGCCACTCTGACGTTGGGACCAAAACACCAAGCTCTTCGCTGCTTTGCGGGCCTGTTGGAGTTGCCATATCGAAAAGAAAGACACTAAAAGTGTGTTGATTCGACAGTGAACACTTGATTCGCTATGCCAGCTAATGAAAAAAAAGAGCGTGTCTCGCGAACTCTGCACGAATAAGGACCATCTTTACCTTTTACCAAGTTTGCCCCATCATAAAATGTTTCTTGCTTTGCTGTCGTGAATACAGGTCACGTGTGTTTTATTTTTTAATTATATGCATTTATCTAAAATTTTATTGTGCCCACATGTATGATGCTGGAGGTTTAAAACATGTTCTGTCTGCCTATTTATGGTGCCCAAATCCTTGTTTGTTCCGCCTCCCTATGTTTAACACCTAAAACGCAATTTTTATTGCCTATAAATCCCACCTCTACTTTAACATGTTGTGATGCCAAGGTACAGTAGGAACCAAGCTAGCTTTCAAAAACATGTTGTGATTAATTTTTTGTAGCACACTCATGTTTACCAGTACATTTTCTAGGCTTATCAGGTCTTGGCCTTTCATTTCATGCAAAAAAAAAAAAACTGGAAATTTTCATGTCAGTACACCTTTAATCTGGCAGTGGTTCCAGTTTTTTACCCTCAACAATGCAAAATTATCTTACCGATAAAGAGCTTGTTTTTATCAGATTCCTTCTCCCTACACAATTCTGCTACAATGACGCATATGCCAAATTACCTTTTCTTTAATATTTACCAAAAGTGCCTCTAAATTTTGGGCTTCAGCAGAAGTCATGTAGCTGGGAAGCAACGCACAAGCTTTGACAAAGTGCAGGTTTCTTAAAGCAGCAGCTGATGTAGCGGTGAGTAGCAGTTCACAATGGCAGCGAAATAGGATTCCAGTGGCCACCACCCATGCCGAACTTACCGATGAGTTGCACTCTTCACAGTTCCAGGTGTAACCGCGCTGCTTCGGGCTCTTCCGCACGGGCGGATACAGGCAGAGGAAGTGGTATCCTTTCTTGCACTCATCACAGCTGCATCAGACAATACACACACACAGAGAAAACAGCAGATGTAAAAGGCTCCTCATCTGGTAGTAGGGCTGTCCTAATGACTTCTTCAGCATGGGTCACATTTTGGCAATGGAACACAGCAGACTCTCAGTAAACAGAACCAGAAGGGACCGGGAAAATATGTTCCATTTAGCAGGAGTTGCGTTTACTGAGAGGTGAACATGAATGCAAAATACAAGCCCGAAACCAAGCATTCCAGGGGCAATAGTTCCGTTTAACAGATTTCCGTTTACTGAGAGTATACTGTAATCTGTGATTACACTGCCATATTAGATTGCTGTGTGAAGCAATTCGTTATGCTATTGTTTGTTACTGCAAAATTTCATGGGAGATATCAAACTGCTTCGCACACAAATTGGCAATAAATGCATGCTCTACACCCCTCACCCTCCCGCCTGACAAATGAATATAGTACGTACAGTGGCACATCATTATTACATTCCCATTTCATATGATTTCTCAGTGCCAACATTCAAGATGTTGCTATCGAGCAAAAATGCGCAGTGTTTTATTCAATTTGCATTCTAGATTTTCCCCGATAGTACATGTTTCATAGTGTTTGCTTATTTTTTTTTTTAAATAACGTGCGAGAAAGGTTCAACTGTACACATAAACAGCCTATGTTGGATGGGGCCAGCCCTTCAGCAATGTTTGCCCCCTCCCCTTTAACTTTAGGAAAGGAACGATGTTATTTGCAGCTTATTTTCGGCCTTTCTATTTCGACGAATGCAACTGTATCCCAAAACAGAAGACATAGCCAGACACACTGCAAACGGCCAATCAAATCTTTGCAAGGTTCACACAAAATAACCAATTTTTTTTTTTTTGGTAATTCTCAGAATAGACAGGTTACTCATTTAAAGGGACCCTGAAACGTTTTTTTGAAGTTTTGTCAGCGTTTGGGCTAGAGGATCATCAAATGATTCACACCACAAATTTAGCAGCACACTGTGTAAGAAGGCTGCGACGAACAATTTTATCATGCCCTCCTTCGCCCTTCTGCCTTGCCACCTCTACTCATGAGAAATGCTCGCATCGCTGGCGATCACAAAGCTCTCATGAGCCCGCTCGGCAATTTGAGCTTCGACCAGTCTAGACCTCCGAAATCGCTTGCCGACAAGTTGCGTGCAGTCTCGGAAGGCTTATCGCACGGTGTGCCCGACAGCATGCATGTCATCTGGCAACAGGGACAAAGATCACAAAGTGGTTGACGTCTGCTCCGATAAGGGCCACCATCCTACCATATGATGTTACTTCCGCGCATTCTACAGCCAAATCAGATCAGCAGCCTCACGACGTTATGTTTCCGGAGCATGTAATTCTGTGAATGGGCAGTTGAAAACGCGTTTGGCTGAGTCGAAGCGACTCATAGCTTCAAAGCGTTCCAATAAATTACACATTTTACGAAGGGAGCTCAAATCAGTCGGTAAATGACTTTTAGAACTTGGTCTACCGGCGCAATGTGTTTGTACAAAATCATCAAAACCATTTCAAGGTCCCTTGAAGCTGGTATTTAGAAGCCTATCCGCTTGTTCATAAAACTTCATCTGGCACAATTCATCAAGATCTGTCAGCTGGGCTGGAAAATGACAGCTTGCAACGTCTAGAACCTTGGAGAATCAACAATGCCACTACACAACGTGGCAAAAGGTTGTGGCATGAGGAAAACAAACTTTGATCATGACTGCGTAGGGGATGCGAATGAAATCACTTACACAACAAGATTTGTGCAGTCGCCCGGGTTGCCACACCGTTTGCATTCCACCCTCAAGTCTTTGTCCAGCGGAGTTCTCTTCACCGGCATGCGAATCCCAGACACACCAGGGACGGCCTCGATGTACTGCGCAGCAACGCAAAGGCAACATATATCCAGCAAATAAGGAATGACACCTTAGAACCCTGTGCGTAATTGATTTATGAATGGTGACAGCCTGCGGAAAAGGGAAAGGGAACCAGCCGCCTCCTCCTAAAATTTTGATTTACTCTTTTGTCGCACTGATGGACCCATAAGCTGAACATAGAGCTAGTTTCTTCAAGTTTGTCCTGACCTCCCTAAAAAAGTTCTCCCATCACGACAGGCCAGCCCCGGCTTCCGACTACCCCTCTTTTTTAAGGGACACTAAAGAAAAATAACAAATTAGATTAATAACTTCTATGCAAGGACTTAACGTCGTTGATTTCACCATCGTAGATTTATCAAAAGAGGAGGAGTTTGAAATTTTTAAGTTTCATGTCAAGCGCGTCATCATTGATTTTCAAGTGCAGTGATCGTATTTCGGTGTCACTGACTACAAAATTTTCTGAAACTTGGTATGTCAAGTCTCTGGCCCCCTTCAGAGGACAATGTAGTTGATTTTACCGATTAGTAACTAACGCAAGCCCTAGTAGGCGCAGTGAAAATACGTGACGCCACGGAAATGGCAAAATTTCAATGTGGTGCCGCCACCCACAGTTTCTAGACTAGATGTGAATTTTAGGTTTGAAATAGTGAATTTTAGGTTTGAAGCCAATTCTAAGCAAATAGAGATTTTGATCGAATAGTTTCGAATCAAATTCGAATGATATGTATGACATGTAAAAAAAGGAATATTGATCATAACCTAACTAACCTGCACAATATTTCTTTTTAATTAAAATAGGGGCTCTATGCAAATGCCTTTTTTTTTTCATTCAAAGAAAGTCGAGACAACCTTGAGTAGTAGTTTCGGTAGGATACTTAACGTTTTAAGATTTTATATACTTGGAGCATATAGGCCGTCATAACAAGCTTAATAAAATGAAGAATTTTAAATGAAGAATCTGAGGGAAGAAAGCACTTTTCAGCTTTGAAAATTTATTGTGAATTACAGGCCGCGTGCTGCGCTATATTTGCCTTGCGTGTTCTCGGTGGCCTTGACTATTGATCAGCAGCGTTTTCTGAACATGTTAAGTAAGTGTTGAAGGCCCTTTTAAATTTGAAAAGGGGCTTCGCGACAAAACGAATTTCCCTGGATAGGTGCTTTCACAGTTTAGCAATACTACATTGCAGTGAAACCATCTTTACAAGCAGTCACATGCGGATTAATATAGTACACCTATTCGTTCATTGCGAATACTTCGAAAATATTCGATCATTTAAATTCCAATCGAAGTGAACTCGAATACTCAACTATTCATTTGAATATTCGAACCATTCAAATATTCGCACAAGCCTAACATTTTCCTTTTGTACATTTTCTCACTTAGTAAGCGTCGATGCAAGCCTGGCAATTTTAAGATTGTGAAAGAGTTGTTTACTAATACAAGACAAACCATTTTGCTCTTTAGAGTCCCTTTACAGAGAATAATCCTGGTGACAGCTGTGTGTTCCTTGCATGCAAGCCAGAAAAATGAAGCTATAAACGTTGATAAACAAGTTAGGCCACGGTACCCTAACAAAGTCTGTCAAACAAAAAGTTATCTCATGGTGAGTACTCTACGCACCATAACGGCAGTTGTCACAAACAAAATATCATATGAATCTCGAATACGAAAGCAGCCGCCCGCAGTTCATAGGTGGGCCCCATTGCTGCTCTGTCATGGAGGCAGCACTCCCTGGCTGGTACAATTTCTTCTAGGTAGGGTTGCAAGTGTGCGGTAGGAGAGGAGAAGATGCAGGTGAGTACTTGTCTCCCTTAGCTTACAGTTATGGTATGGGCTGCTGTGTGTTCTAGACAGTGCGGCTATGCCCTAACTTGCAGGTGAACTGCAACAGGTGTACAGTAAGGTGAGCCAAGATTGCAGTAGATTCCGGCTTTTGAAGAGACAGCAACCATGCTAGTTGGCACACAAACTGGTGCACCTGTTATCCCACATGAAGAGACAGTTGCTCTTGCGAGTTAAACACACTGGTACATTCCTAAGGCACTTGTTTCTAGCCCCTTGTTTATCTTCTTATATTTTGTTTTTTTACTCTGCCCTAGGCCAGACCACGTGACAGATGAGTATATATATACATATGCTTTCTTTTCCAACAAATCACAGTTGCGAGTCAGCGCACGTGCTGTTTGCATCTTTCTTATAGTGCCTGTGTTTGTGCGCATGCCATATCCTGTCAAAATAACACAATCCACAGTCAGAAGGACAACGGCACTGACCGTCATGCTAATAGCAGCCACTCCTGCCCTTGGTGGCTCTGATGGCACTGTAATCTTTGGCTGGCTCTTGCCATGCTTTGAATGCATATCCAAGCTGACTCTACTAGCGCTGCATCTGTCTGACTTAACATACTCAGTAGTTATAAAAGGAGACACTTTGCAACAACCACACAAGCAAATAAGATCAGCCAGGGTCTACATAAATGGAACACCACATTCGTTAAATCTTCCTCTTTGGCTTAGTTGTTTGAGCCGTTTATGAAAATATAGAGCGCCAACACGTCCAGCATTTGGTTCCTTTAAAGAAACCTACCGGTGTGGAGGGTTCGCTTTTTGGAACCGGAGGAGCAGGTGGAGCAGGTGTTGTCACAGGTGGCACTGGTGCCACGACCGCAGGTGCGGACTTGCGTTTGACTCGCTTTGCTTTGCGGTACGCCTGCATTTCGGGGGCCAGGCGACGGCGAGGGCGCTTCCCTGGACCCGTCGAGCTTCGCTGCCGCTTCATAACGGAGCTCTGGGAGACCACGTCTGAAGGCTCTGTTGAATTTGCCAATGACTCGTCACCAACAGCTGCCGGGATTTGTGTAGCGGGAGTTGCCACCGTTGTGGTGGAAGTACTAGGGACGGTAACCGTGGGGGTGAGGGCAGCAGCAGCAGCCGCAACGGGGTTCGCTAATGTGGGAGTGGTGGCCTTGGGAGAGTCTGGCACAATGCAGGTTTGTGACTGTCGCACACGACGGCTCAGACGACTGGGCTGCAACTGCAATGCGACAACATGCATTCTAACAGCAAACCAGATGACTTGCAGTTCGGGGAGAATTCGGGAGAGCTTGTGCACCCAGCACAGATGCGCCCAGATGCATGAACTCTTCGCAGTTCATAATTTCAATTTTGGCAGACATATGCGAGGTGGGTTTTAAGTAGGCAAGAACATGAAAACTTTTGCACAAACGATTTTATAATGGTAGAACGCATCCTCTGAACTGGATTCAAATCAAAGGCAGCAGTCACGCTACCAGACAAGCCTACCAGGAGTCTCACGAATTGCAGCACAAGACCGCATTAACTGGCACTTCAGAAACACATATTTAAGACATTTAAGAACAGTTTCTGAGAAACGAACAATACAAAAGAGCAAGCATTTTTTAAAGAACGACTGGCATCTATCTGACGGTTACACTATGCTAGGAAGTGAACCAGGTGGCCCATATTATAGTTCGTCTTTCTGTTGTTACCAATGAATCAAAACAGGATTACGGAAGAATGCCAGTCTAAAGTAGGCTTTTGTTACTGTTCACTTACATGAACAATATGTAAACTAACAGCAAAAATGTGTTCTGATGTTTTGGAAAATTCAGCAGCTGTCACACTCTTTTAACGCAAAAAGGTTAAGACCTGGGGTGCTATTCTGGACACTGCCGAATCCACCATATTGTCAACTGTTGTAATGGTGCCATTTAAGGCCAATCAGAGAGGTATTAGCAGTCCACTGGGCCAATTCAGTACAATCAATGGCCGAATGTAACAACAAGGCAGAATTCGACAGTGTCCAGAATAACACCCCTGACTACAACCACATAAAACACAGCTACTCCTATTCACATTCACGTCATATCCTCAAGCACAATGAACTGAGAATGCAGCCTTCACCTGTGCGCTCGTGCCTTTTTATTTTTTTTCTCAGATTTAGATGATCTATCTTTTCTTGACTTGCACTAAGAAAGGCACAGAAGCTAATATGCATAACAATAACTGACTCTGTACCCTTTCCACAAAGATACAACAGTTCAAGTGTATAAAAGTTTGCACCATGCAGCATGGGTTTATGAAGACAAAGGTACAATCATAAAAAAAAAACATGAAATGCTAAATTCACAAGTCAAAAGAAAAGAAATTTAAAGATACCTTTTAATACTTCTAATACTGAAGAGAGAGAGAAAGAATAAACTTTATTGAAGAATTAAAATTACGTGACTAATCCCGGGTGGAGCCCTCTTGTAGAGCCCCACTGGCCACAGCGGCTCGCCGGGCATGGTCTAGGGTCACCAGTTGGCTCCCCAGTGCCAGCTCGGAAAGCCGTGCCTCCCAAGACCACGTTGTGAGTGTTTGTAGTGAGCGCACCAACCTAGATACTGCATTGGCTGGCCGCTCGGTACATTGGTAGGTTATGTGTGTAAGTGTGGCTGTGTGGTTACTACAACATGGGCATACCCCTGTTGTGTATATCTGTGGAAAAATTGCGTGTAGTTTTTATATGTGGGGGTATGTGTTCGTTTGGAGGCGGCGCCAATCCCGGGATTGTTGGCTGCTTAAGTTCGGATGTGGAGGGGCGTACGTGCGTCTTGTAAGGCGTTGGTTTTCCAATATCTGCCTGCTTGTTACACTTTGCTCTTCATGACGCCCTGTGAGGTGTCCTGAGGAGAGTCCTGCGTCTCGGCCAGTAAGTCCGCGAGCTACGCAGTTTGCCTCCTCGTTCCCCCCCAAGCCGTCCTGCCCTGGGCACCAAGTGACGCCATGTGCCTCCATCAACATGGACCCCAAAATATCAGTGACGCACCTTGGAAGTGTGCCTCTAAGGTATAAGCGACATGCAGCTTGTGAGTCTGTCAAAATATACGCTGAGCGCCCCCTTCTTTCGGCTTCTCTGATTGCCAAGGCTATGGCTGCTGCCTCTGCGGTGGCACTTGATCTGGTGCGTAGGGACGCGCAGGCCACGACTTTGTTTTGGTTAGTCACTGCCAATGCATATGCTTGTTTTCTGGAGCCTTGTGGTGGCGCGGGATAAAGACTGACGTCGGTAAAGTAAGCGTCTGGATCGCTACTTCTCTGCAGGAGTTTTCGTGCTCGAGCTTGACGGCGCTTTTTGTTGTAGAGCGGGTGCATGTTTTTTGGAACTGGTTCCACGATTATTTGATCACGTATTTGCTAGGGTACAATGACTGTCTCATTGCCACAATATTGAGGGGTGAGAGGGTATCCCAGCCTCTGTAGCAGTGTTCTTCCCTGGAGCGTAGTGGTGAGTCGTTCTCGCTGTGCGATTAGCGTGGCGGCGGCCAATTCTTCATACGTATTATGCATGCCAAGTCCCATGAGTTTTTCTGTGCTTGTGCTGTTCGGAAGTCGCAATGCTGCTTTGTACGCAATTCTGATGAGTCTGTCAATCTGCTCTATTTCGGGCTTGCGTGTTGATTGAAAGGGAAGAGCGAACGTGACTCGGCTGAGAACGAAGGCCTGTACAAGGCGTACCGTGTCGGCCTCTGTCATCCCATCATTACTTCGCGCAATTCTAGCTATAAGGGATGCAATACTCTTTACGGTTTGTTTGAGTTTCCCTATTGCAATCTTTACGCTGTTGTTTTCTTGCACGTGCATGCCTAATATTCGAGCTACTGGGGTCCTGTTGATGATCTGTCCAGCAATTTCTAGCTGCAGCGCGGGTGCACGGTTGGACCGAGTGTGTGGGGGTCTTATTTGCAAATATTCCGATTTGCTAGGTGCGCACGACATGCCTGCAGCAGTGAGGTAGCCTTGAATCATGTCTATAGCGGTTTGCAGTACATCTTGTCGTTCTCCATAGGAGCCCTTTGTTGCCCATAGCGTAATATCGTCCGCGTAAAAGGCACAGCCCAGGTTTGGTACAGTCTCCAGCTAGAGGACTAGTTTCCGGAGGCCGATACTGAATAAAAATGGAGACAAGATGGAGCCCTGAGGTGTGCCTTTCAGTGGGAGGTCGTATGGTGATGATTTGGTACCAGCTATGCCAATCTGCGCCTTGCGATTTCCAAGAAAATCAGAGGCATAGTTGAATATGCGTTGTCCGCATCCTATGGCTGCAAGACCGTCTAGTATGGTAGAGTGCGCAATATTATCAAATGCTTTTTCGATGTCGAGTGCGAGTAGATTGTTGAGACTACCTGGCGCTGGGTTAAGCACTTCCTCTTTGAGCAGTAAGAAGATATCCTGGGTAGACACTCCTCGCCTAAATCCGTACATAGATGTTGGTAGAAGCCCCCGTTCTTCTGTGTATTGCTCAAGGCGAGTGAGTATAACTTTTTCGAAGAGCTTGCCAATGCATGACGTTAAAGAAATTGGTCGTAGCTGATCAAGGCTTCGCCGTTTGCCTGGTTTAGGTATGAGTACAACCTGTGCCAGTGTCCATTCTGCAGGTATCTTTCCACTCGGTGTCCAGACTTCCTGATTAAAGTGGTCTGTGATGGCTTGTAATGCTTCATCGCTGAGGTTCCGTACCATGGCATTTGTAATGCCATCCAATCCGGGCGCTGTATTTCTTTTGAAGCTTTGAGCCGCTGCATAAACCTCAGCAAAGGTTATGGGGGCGTCGAGCTCAGTGTTGGGTTCTCCATTGTATTCTTGACTGGGTGTTGGGCTAACGTTTCGCTTGCGTTCTCCTGTGTAGCGTTGTTTCAGCTCTTCTATTAACTGATCCGGATCACCTTGAAATTCCCCAGCTAGCTGTTGAAGGGTAGCGTTTGTTTCGGTTCTTGTTGCAGAGGGATCCAAAAGACTCCGTAGGATGTTCCACGTCTTTTTCGTGCTTAATGTGCCTTTTAAGGAATCGCAGAAGGTGCGCCAGTTGTTGTTGTAAAGTTCCTTTGAGTATGCGTTTACTTCCTCCGTGATTTTCGCTATACGGAGTCTGAGTTTCTTATTTAGCTTTTGTCAACGCCACCGTTTCGTGAGGCCTGGACGAGCTTCCCAAAGATGTGTCAAGTGGGTGTCAATGGCAGGTGCGTCGGTAGTTGTTTGATATATCTTGGTGTTCTTGTCATAGAGACCCTTAATGTACGGTGTCCATTGGGCTATAGTTGTTGGCTTGGGCCCGTCTACTTCCTGTTGCTCTTTATATTTAGTCCAGTTAGTCAGTCTGGCTTTTCCGAGCGGGCGTCGCAGTCGAGCTGTTTCATATGTTATTTGCACAATATTGTGATCGCTGCCCAGATTGTCGTCCAGCACACTCCAGCGCATGGTCGCGGCATTGTTGGTTACGGTAAGGTCGGGAGTGGTGTCCCTGTTGACACTGTTTCCTATACGAGTCGGTATGCCTGGTGTCGTGAGGAGTGTGTAGTCGTAGTGCTGTATCGCTTCTAAAAGTCGCGTACCTTTGGGTCTGTCTGCGCTATAACCCCATGTGGTGTGCCAAGCGTTGAAGTCCCCAGTGATGATCAAGCGGTCGCGTGGTTGAAGCTTGTTGTTCAAAGCCCCGCCGCGGTGGTCTAGTGGCTAAGGTACTCGGCTGCTGACCCGCAGGGCGCGGGTTCAAATCCCGGCTGCGGCGGCTGCATTTCCGATGGAGGCGGAAATGTTGTAGGCCCGTGTGCTCAGATTTGGGTGCACGTTAAAGAACCCCAGGTGGTCTAAATTTCCGGAGCCCTCCACTACGGCGTCTCTCATAATCATATAGTGGTTTTGGGACGTTAAACCCCACATATCAATCAGCTTGTTGTTCAAATAGTGGAAGATATTGCTGAATTCTGCTTTTCTGTCTTGTGGGGGACTGTATATGTTACATATAACCTGCCTCGGGCGTCCTTTCTTCGCTGGCCAGAGCGTTACGATAAGGTGTTGCGTCTCTTCGTTCGGTGCCGTTATGCATGTAGCTGCCAATTCTTTCCGGACGAGTGTCGCAATCTTAGGTGTATTTGGATCCATGTACAGTTTGTAGCCAGAAACTGTTTTAGGCCTGGCTCCCACCTCTTGCAAGCAGATTACGTCAGGAGGAACCAGTGCCGCCTTTATGTA